GGAGAAGCAGTCGTTGCATTTTACTGGCTTTAAAAAGGGCCAAGGGCGGGCCACCCCAGGGGGGAAAGGGTGCTGTCCCTCCGCCTGTTTCCCCCTGGCGGCTTGGTGGCCATCATCCTCCAGAGGCCACTGGACAGTCAGGCTTGGGCCCGCAGTGGCGAAACTTGTTGGGCCTCATGGGAGGGGGGGTGGAATCAGGCCTGTCCTCCCCACCCCAATGCGACCCCAAGTCATCGCCCACGAACGGCCTCTCTGGCTCCTGATCAAGCTGCTCAACGGCCATGATCCCAGAGACTCAGGAGCAAATCTCGAAACCCAGTGGCTTTTGGCAGAAATCCCTCCAGATTTAAGTGTTAAAATTTCGGAATTTCAAAATCACATGGCCCTACTGAAGCCACGGACATCATATGTTATTCATAACCAGCAACAGAACACAAATTGTCTACTGTTGCCTTTTCAGCAGATCTGAGTGTTGGGGTAAAAGGTAAAATCTCAAATAATAATGGTGGGCCTGGTGACGAAATATTGAATGTGATCAAAGTAGAGAGAGAGTAATGTAGAAATCATCTGCCCCACAGGCAGGGGGAGGGTGTGGGATGGGGATATACTGGGATTTTTGGTGGTGGAGAATGGGCACTGGTGAAGGGATGGGTGTTTCATTGTATGACCGACACTTAGACCCGAAAGCTTTGTAACTGCTCTTATGGTGATTCAATAAATAAAATTATAAAAAAATGAAAAAAAAATAAAAAGGGCCAAGGGGCTGGAGCGATAGCACAGCGGGTAGGGCGTTTGCCTTGCACGCGGCCGACCCAGGTTCAATTCCCAGCAACCCATATGGTCCCCTGAGCACCGCCAGGGATAATTCCTGAGTGCATGAACCAGGAGTAGCCCCTGCGTCTCGCCGGGTGTGACTCAAAAAGCAAAAAAAAAAAAAAAAAAAAAAAAAAAAAAAATTAAATAAATAAAAATAAAAAAATAAAAAGGGCCAAAGTGGAACCTTTCTGCATTGATAAGGCCCAAAGGCCCCAGGTTAACAGCACTGGCCAATGGAGATTGGGCAGTAGAACCCAGGCCCACTTGAGTCTCTTAGGGCTTCATTACCATACTAAACCACACCCCCACCCCCGTGATGTCCCTCCACCATTCTCTATACATGCAATATGTTTTTTTCTATACTCCTCAATTGCACTTGTTCACCATTCTCCCTCATGAATATGCACGAGTTCCTTGAAAATCTACTAGCATATGTATAAGTTGTTACATCTGCTGGGCTTAGAACCAGACTCCCAATTCCCTCTTGTTGAATGTGTTCTCCAGTCTATGCCATGGAATGGAAGTGGTTTCACTGCCAAAAAAGTTCCTCTTTTCTAGTCAGTTGTTCCTGTGCCTTTTTTCCAGGATGACATAGTCTTTCCTTAAAAGTGCCAGCAATGTAATCAGCTAACAGCAGCTGTTCGATTGCTAAAAGAGGAGGTGAATGATACCTTTCTGACCTACACAGGTTTATTCATATAAGTAAAAAGAACAAACAGTATCCAATAGCAGTTTCTAGCTCTGAAAGACACATCGAGGAAATAGCACATAATAAAAGGCGGAATTAAATAAAACTACATTTAACCCCTTGACCCTTTCTTCCTTGAAGCTCCAACATTTTAAATGAAATTGCTTAAGAATTATTCAAGTGAATGGAAAAGTGAGAGTAGAGGCTGAAAGAATTTTATTGTAAGAGACTGGGAGCAAAGGTTAGTCTTCTTGATTTAATTTGAAAATATTGTGACACCCAAGTCTGTTACCAAATTTCTTAGATACTTCAAAAAAGGGCTGGAGCAATAGCACAGCGGGTAGGGCGTTTGCCTTGCACGCGGCCAACCTGGTCGGCCCAGGTTCGATTTCTCTGCCCCTCTCGGAGAGCCTGGAAAGCTACCGAGAGTATCTCGCCCACATGGCAAAGTCTGGCAAGCTACCCGTGATGTATTGGATATGCCAAACACAGTAACAACTAGTCTCACAATGGAGACGTTACTGGCCCCGCTCGAGCAAACCGATGAACAATGGGAGGACAGTGCTTACCGTGCTTACTTCAAAAAAGAAAAAGTAAGGGCACTAAGGCACAGGACAGCAGGTAGGACACTTGCTTTGCATGCGGCAGACCCAGGTTCGATCCCTGGCACCCTGTACGGTTCCCTGAGCACTTCCAGGAGTAACTCCTGAGTGCAGAACCATAGATAAATCCTGAGCATCACCAGATGTGGTCCCCAAACGATGACAACAACAACGACAACAACAACAACAACAACAACAACAACAAATCAAAAAAGAGAAAAATAAGACAGGCAGAGGCAGCAGTTGTTTTCTTTCTTTTTAAAATTTTGTTCTTTGGGGGGGCTGGAGCGATAGCACAGCGGGTAGGGCGTTTGCCTTGCATGCAGCCAACATGGCCGACACAGGTTTGATTCCCAGCATCCCACATGGTCCCCTGAGCACCGCCAGGAGTGATTCCTGAGTGCATGAGCCAGGAGTAACCGCTGAGCATCGCCGGGTGTGACCCAAAAAGCAAAAAAAAAATTTTTTTGTTGTTGTTTTGGGGCCACAGCAGCAATGCTCAGAAATTACTCCTGGCTCCGTGCTTAGAAATCACTTTTGGTGGTGCTCAGTGACCACTTACGGCACTGGGATCAAACCCAAGTGGTCTGTGTGAGAGGCAAAGGTCCTACCCACCTTTACTATTTCTCAGGACCCAGCTTCAGCACTTCATAAGCCCTTCCTAAGGAAGTTGAATTCAGGTTAAAAGCAAAAGGCGAGGCGGGAGAGACACCTTCGGATGTTGACCCGGTTCAATCCCTGGCAACAAAAATGTTTCACCGACCACTGAGCATAGCCCAAGGTAGATTCTGAGCACACCACCAGGAGTGGGACCAAATCAAAAATAAGTTTTTTTAAAAGCCCCCAAGAGAGAACAAAAGGGAATGCCCTGCCAAGAGGCAGTGTGGGATGGGGGGGATGGGGGGGCAGGAGGGATACTAGGATCCGTGTTGGTGGGAAATGGGCACTGGTGGAGGGATGGGTATTCGATCACTGTATGATTGAAACCCAAGCAAAAAAATTTGTACGTCTACAACTGTACCTCATGGTGTCTCACTAATAAAAATTAAATTTTTTTTTAAAAAGCCCTCTTTTCTGTGATGTGAGGAGGCTCTCTTTGTTCTACTGGAAGAGAAGATGAAGCCCCACGGAAAGTCACAGGAGACACAGGGTGGCTGGTGAAAAAAGCCGCACAAAATTCCTGGCAGGAATGGTGTCAGAAAGAATTTTTTTGTTTGCTGTTTCGTTTTGCAGTTACACCTGGCAGTGCATGGGACTTACTCCTGGCTCTGTGCTCAGAGATCACTCCTGGAGGAAATGGTGACCAAATGGGGATCGAACCCGGATCAGCCACGTGCAAGGCAAGTGCCCTACCTGCTGTACTATCTCTCTAGCCCTCAGATGGAATTTCTTCATTCCCTGCAAAGAGGCCCCACTGCCCTCCCCAATCCTTTAACGGTTCTCAGATTATCGTCCAGCACTACCTGCATCACTGGGCTAGTGATGCATCACAGTCCTCACCCTCACTGTCCCAGGCAGTTTACAAATATCCAGGTCCCTGAAGCCTAGATAAGACTCACAGGGTCCTCCAGCATACCTAGGACCTGGCCTGACATAGACCTTCCAAATCCCCTTCCAGTCTCACTAGTGATAAGCCAAACTGTTGACTAACAGAACAAAAGACGATTTATACCACTTCTGGTCTAGCATCTCTCCTTCCTCCAAATCACTGGCCTTTGGCCAGAACATACCCCACTGCCAAAGCCCTTCCCAGAAAAGGCAGGACTCAGATAAAGACTCCTGCAACACGTACAAGCCAGGCTGTTATTCCACTTCTCACACCTTGCTCTTTCCGGCATTGTTTACTCCTGCCTATAAACCCTCTTCCTTTAGGGGCTGGAGAGAGTATAGTGGGTAGGCCCTGGCTCCATTCCCAACACCCCATATGGTACCCTGGGTCCAGGCAGTCCTGAGCACAGATCCAGGGGTAAGCCTTAGAGCACACTGCTGGGTGTGGACCCCCTCCCCCAATAAAATAATATAAACACCTGGGGCTGGAGTGATAGTTCAGCAGGTAGGGCATTTGTCTTGCACGAGCCGACCCAAGTTTGATTCCCAGCATCCCATATGGTCCCCCGAGCACCTCCAGGAGTAATTCCTGAGTGCATAAGCCGGGAGTAAACCCTGTGCATCGCCGGGTGTGACCAAAAAGAAATAAAAAAAATAATATAAACACCTATTCCTTTTTTTTTGCTTTTTGGGTCAGGATTCAGGAATCACTCCTGGCGGTGCTCGGGGGACCATATGGGATGCTGGGAATCGAACCTGTGTTGGCCATGTTGGCTGCGTGCAAGGCAAATGCCCTACCCGCTGTGCTTTTGCTCCAGCCCCGCCTGTTCCTTTTTTTTTTTTTACTGGCCCAACCCTAAAGGCTTTTGCGGACTCCCAGTCAGAGGATCTATTACAACGGTCCTCAGTTATTGCTATGCCTTCTTTCCTTTGCACTGTTTCCAGCAGAGTCTCTCCTGCCTCAATCCTGACTTTTTAATTTCGCACTGGAGGGGCGGGGGAGTGGGGGAATCCCAGGCCAGCCTCCAGACCTTTTGCAATGAAAATCACTGGGCAAGGCGCCCAGAAATCGATTTCCAAACAAGTACCCCTGGTGCATGCAGTTTGCAAGCCACCAACTTATTATAGGCACCTCTCTATGGGTCTCATTCCCGCCTTCACGGCTTTAACTTTTCTTTACCTTCACTCCGGAGGCTTCACTGTGTGCCTCCTTGGGTGGGTGGGTGGGCGGGTGCACCGAGCCCCTAGTTCAAAGTCATTCCAATCCCGGGGACAGACCAGGCCGACAGAACACCCGACCCCCCTCGGGGAGCGAATGGTACCCCGCGAGTCGCGCGCGTACTCACATCTCCATCCGCCGGCCTCTGGTCATCGCAGTCCCTGGTGGGGCTAATGTCCTGGCGCATGACCCAGATGGGTTCTTTGGGCTCGTCGGGGGTGTAAGGCGAACGGATGGTCCTGGTTTTCACCTCCTCGATGGCCTCCTTGATGTCCTTGATGGCCAGCGAGATGGCATCCCTCTTCTCCTTGCTGTAGCGCTGCTGCACGGCCTCGCCGCCGCCGCCGGTGGTGCCCGTGGTGCCGGTGGTGCCCGTGGTGCCCGTGGCCCGCTGGCCCGCGGGCGCCTGCAGGCCGGGGCTGTCGGGGCGGCCCCCGCCGGGGGTCGGGGCGCGCTCCAGGTCCTGCTCGGCCTCGGGCATCTCCTCGGCCGCCCGGTCCAGGCTCTGCGAGCTCATGCTCTGCTTGACCTCGGCCACGATCTGGTCGATGTCCTCCTCCTGCTCGTAGCTGTCCATGCGCGGGTAGGGCGCGAACTCGGCCTCCTTCTCGGGGCTGTCGGACTCGCCGTCGTCCGAGCGCTCGTCGTAGTGGTGCAGCCGCGCGCCCAGGGCCTCGTGCCGGTACGCGGCGGCCGCGTCGTCGCGCTCGCGCGGGTACAGCCGCGGCCCGTCGCGCGCCACCGCCGCCGCCGCCGCCGCGTCCAGCTCGGGCGCGTCCCCGATCTCCTCGTACACGTGCTCCTGCAGCCCCCCGTAGTCGGCGTAGGGCTCGGCGTACGAGGGCTCGTCGTCGCCGCCGCCGCCCCCGCGGTGGAAGAGCCGGTGCGTGTACACGTAGCCCGAGTACGCGGCGCTCACGGCCTCCTCGCGCGCCAGCCCCGGGGGCAGCTGCAGGGGCCCGGGCAGCGCGCGGCGCGGCGGGGCCGAGCTGGCCTCGGCGTGCTCGGCCTCCGCCTGCTCCGTGTACTCCTCGGCCTCGGGCCGGTACTGCACGGCGTACGCGCTCTCATCCTCGGGGTCCTGCGCGCGCTCCGCCTCGTCGTCGTCCTGGGCGATCACGTCGCCCTCGGCCGTGTCCGTGTGGTTGTGGAAGCCGCTCTCGGTGCTGGCCGAGCGCGCCAGGCTCTCCCCGCGCTCCTCCTCCTCCTCCTCCGGCCCCCGGGCCCCCGCGGGCGGCGCGCGGGGGTCCCCGACGGCGCCGCGTCCGCGCGCGGGGCGGCCGGCGAACTGCGACTGCGGCGGCGGCGGCGGCGGCGGGGGCAGCGGCGACCCCGGTGGCTGCTGCTGCTGCTGCTGCTGGTGGTGGTGGTGGTGGTCCTCCTCCACCCCGGGGTGCTCCAGGTCGGCCTCCACCGACTCGTTCACCTCCCCGCCTGCCGCCTCCTCGGTCACCTCCACCTCCGCGGAGCCCTCCAACTGGTTCATGGTGGGCGTCGGGGACGGCTGGGAGAGAGGCCGGGCCGGCTCACTGAGCGCTCATTTTGGTCCAGTCCCTGGAAAGATAAAAAAATAAATAAATAAATAAGAATGAGCGGGGCTGTTAGGTGGTTCCGACCCGGTCCGAGCAGCCTAGCAGCGAACTGAAACCAAAAGCCATCGCGATGGATCCCGTCGGAGTGTGAATCGATAATAATCATTTTTTTTGCTTTTGTTTTGGGGGGGGGCGGTCACCTGGCGATGCACAGGGGTTCCTCCTGGCTCTGCACTCAGGAATTATCCCTGGTGGTGCTCAGGGGACCATATGGGATGCTGGGAATCGAACCCAGGTCGGCCGCGTGCAAGGAAAACGCCCTACCCGCTGTGCTATTGCTCCAGCCCCAATAATAATCATTTAAAAAAAATGGTTGCAAATCTCAGCTCAGTCTGACAGCACATGTATCACTTTTTTTTTTCTTTTTGGGTCACACCTGGCGATGCACAGGGATTACTCCTGGCTCTGCACTCAGGAATTACTCCTGGTGGTGCTTGGGGGACCCTATGGGATGCTGGGAATCGAACCCAGGTTGGCCGTGTGCAAGGCAAACGCCCTACCGGCTGTGCTATTGCTCCAGCCCCTCAGGGATTACTCTTGACTCTGTACTCAGAAATTACTCCTGGCGGTGCTCAGGGGACCACATGGGATGCTGGGATGCACAGGGGTTACTCCTGGCTTTGCACTTGGGAGTTACTCCTGGCAGTGCTCAGGGGACCACATGGGACGCGGGAATTGAACGTGGGCCGCGTGCAAGGCAAACGCCCTACCCGCTGTGCTATCTCTCCAGCCCATGGATCCCTTGCTTGGTGCTAATCTAGTAATTTGCAATTAGGCCTCTACTTGCTTAATTGCTTACTGGCTTTGGCCCTTCTCGTCTCCTTAGACCGAAATCCTCAGGAGCGTTTGGTTCACCACCACGCTTACCATTCAGGTCCCATTTCTGTGGCGTGAATTAAGAGCGCAACTAAATTGAATGGGCCAATCGACACATCTTCCATCTGTTAAGGAATAAATCTGTCTAAATTAAGCCAGGATCCTAGATGCTCTCAAGAAACGATCGTTTAAGTACATTTCAAGGGGGAAAACAATCTTGAAATGTCTGCAGCCATCCACAAAGCGGCTACCAACCATCCATGGCTTCGTGTCCTGCCATTACCGCCTCCCTTCACTACAGCAAGCAGCTTAGTTTTCTGGACCTCCACAGGGAGAGTGAACTGACTTGCTGTAGGAGTTATTAACAGCTATTAATAGCTATCAATAGCTCTTATACTGAAAATCTCAGAGTCAAATAAGTTTGGGACATGCTGACTTCGAGTTAACTTTTCATTGTGAATATTTAAGGGGAGGAAGATACAGGATGCATACAGGATTTCCTGTAGTGTTGTGTGTGTGTGTGTGTGTGTGTGTGTGTGGTAATGCAGGTACAGGAAACAAAAATGAAATAGAGGGAGGGTCCAAAAACCCTTGCTAACCAACCTCTCCCCCAAACAAGAATGAACACTGTTATTCCATTTGTGTGTTTTATACTTTGCATGTATTAAAGAAGTACTATCACCTCCCATGGAGTTAATGATTGGTCTCATCTTCTGCTGGAATGGAAGTAATGTACCATGACTTGGGTCTGAGGCCTATCTGAATGCACTTGCACACACACACACACACACACACACACACACACACACTATTCCAGTTAACATGCTATTTGCCTTCACATCACTTGAAGGGCAGCTCATGACCCTGAGATTAAGGCAATTTATTAATTTCCGTAGCAATAAACAGTCATTAGTGAGGAGAGGTTTTCTTGGAAAAGTTTACAATCTGAGTAGTTTGGAGGATAAATAGTTCTCAAGAAAGATGACGGTAAGAATTAAGGTATTTGATAAATGTGGTGGGTTTTTTTTTTGCTTGTTTTGGGGTCACACCCGGCGATGCACAGGGGTTACTCCTGGCTCTGCACTCAGGAATTACCCCTGGCGGTGCTCGGGGTACCATATGGGATGCTGGGAATCGAACCCGGGTCGGCCACGTGCAAGACAAATGCCCTACCCGCTGTGCAATGCTCCAGCCCCCTAAATATGGTTTCTTTCCATGAACTATGAGTGATGTAGTAATGGCAGGACACAACTTTCCATGAGTTGTGGAACATCTAGGAGGGAACCCAAAGGCCATCAAGAACCCTTCTCAAATCACCAGCACTTCTTTATGCAATGCATCTATTTATAAGAGTAAAAGTAAAAAGACAAATAAAGAAGATCGGGGTTCCTGAAAGCTTAATCTTCTTGATTCATTTGGAAATTAAACTTAGTGATACTGGTATATAAGATGGAGACCATGAATTTCTCTTTCCCGAAAACCATTTTCAGTTTGAATAGGCTCGCTTGTCAGCAAAAGCCTTCCCATGCAGAACATCTTGTCTCAGCAAAATATTTTGTTTCCCTTGATATCCTTGTGCCTGAAATTGTGAAGCAGGGCTTGGCAGATAGTACTGATAATGAATTGAGAGTGAGTTGAATTCTGAACTCCAGGAGTATTGCTGAGTGGCTAGATGCTCACCAGAGTGAGATATCTGTGATTAGACCTCAGGTCTATGCCCTTGACCTGTCCAGCTTAGATGAAGGCAAGGGCAGGATATCTCTGTCCACCCATATCCCGCAACCCTGGTTCCATTCTGTATTTTCTTACTCAGTTCTGTGTTTCATGAATTTCACTCATCAGTATCTCCCTATTCCTCTGGCATTTGGTTTAACTACTGGAGAGCTATGATAGGACATCAGAGAGACTAAAGTTGGGGTTTGTATTCGAAGTTCCCTCTCTACAAGATCTCCTGGGATTGCCAATGTTCCTTGTACAAAGAGCATAGCCCCTATCCTGGAATCTTTTCCATATTTTCACGTGATATTTCCTTTCTATCCCACCAGGGTAATGGATGGCAATAGTACCTCATAGAGACACCCCCTCCCCTTATAATTATCCTCTCTTTCCAACTCCCTTCTTCTCATCTATTCAAGTGATCCATTTCCTGCTCACTCAGACTCTAATTGGTCCTGAAGACAATACTCATGTAGGTAGGTAATAAAAATATAAATCAAAATACCTTTTAGTCAATGTACAAATAAAAGTAAGACAAATACTACAACTACAGTAAAAATCATGAAGGTGCTTTCCACTTTAGTGGAAATTCTTTACCAGGCTCTATTATGTCTTCTAAACTCACAGCACTGTCTCTTCAAAGGAGATGCAGTATTCAGAGTACTGACAGAGACAGCCCATGAGGGAGATCATCGGGAGCATAAAAATCCACCTGTCTGCCTGCCTGGAACTTGGCCTCTCTCTCTCCCAAAGACAGAGAACTTGAGATCTTTCCTGCTTCTCCAGGCTGTTGTTAAACTTCAGGCTGTTGTTAGGCTCAGCTTTTCTGAGTCTCTCTCTAAACCCAATTCTGGACCCACCTTTGCTCCTCACTCAAGGACGAGGATCTGGCTGCTGATCAGTGCTTTGGGTTCTTTCTTCCTTTACAGACAGATTGCCTTAATTCTGCTCCCCATTTTTCATCACTTTAGATACCCGATTCTCTGGATTAATAATTCAAATAACTCAATGATGATTGTCATAGCCTTAGAGAAGACTCACTGCTGAACTCAACTTCCTTTCACACACTAAGAGTTGAACTTGGCTTCCACCAATGGTTCAACGTGAGGAGGTGGGACCTGATCTTCCTCAGTCTACCTAGGAAGGCTCAATACTTATTATGCATTTAAGCCATTTTCTTGGCTCAAAAGACTCTGGTTACTTCATTAGGAGGGAGTAGGTATTGCTCAGGGTCTGCTCCTACAGTTCTGTGCTGGGGGACCATGTAGTGCAGGGATCAAACCAGGGTTAGAGGCATCAAATCAAATGTCTTAACCCCTGTACTGTCTCTCCAGCCTATCTGCACACTTCTTTAATGGATGAGCTTTCAGACTTAATTTATGGGCAAACCACTATCAATACCCTATTGATAGAGCCAGAGAGATAGTATAAGGGTTAAGCCTTGCATGCTGTCAACACAGATTTGGCCCCCCATTACCACCAGGCATCACCCCTGAACACAGAGCTGGGAGTATCCCCTGAGCTCTACTGGGTGTGGCTCAAATTCATCCACAAAAAAATTTACTCTGTTTTAGTCATATTTGACTTCTTTTTATCCTCAGAGAATCATCTCTTACATTATTACCTAGAATTGGTTTGGAATGCTGCTTGAAATTTTTTCAATAGCACATCCATTCCTAATGGGTCACCCCATCTTGTACTACACTTACTGAGGTGCTCATGGGACGGGGTGCACTCAGACTGTCTAGATGTGTCTCCTTTTTTTCTCCATTTACTACCTCTTTGATTCTGGCTAGCTTAACTCACAGTTGTGATGCAGATGCTCCAGTTCTAAAATTATCCACTAGAGGAGAGTAACGGTTTCTACATCATAGGGTTATTGGCTGATATGAGTTAACATGAATAAAAAATCAGAAGTGTCTGATATATTATAAGTACTATTTCATATTTATTGATGTGTTTTCTGCATACATCATATAATATAGGAAACGAGCATTAAACTACTTTTAACCCATTGTAAAATAAGGCTGGGTATGAGCCCATCAATCATATAATCATAACAAGCCCTGTACTGTGGGCATGTAAGTTAATATATGTGACACTGTATATACTATGTTTCTAAACCTTACCACAGCCCCAAGGGGAATTATTATGCCAAGCTTCTAATTTTGGAGGTGGGATGAACCTCCCAAACTTTGCTCAGGGAACCCAGGACCATTCCCAACGATATTAGCCTGGCCATGTGGGCCACACAGTTCAATGTTTGGATCAGCAATGCAGTGCTGCTTGGACCCAGCAGGCCAGTGGCCACTAGTGTCATACTCAGGGGTGCTTGGGACATAATGAGGTGCCAGGGCTTAAACTTGAGGTCTACTCTATGCCAGGCATACAGTCAGCCCCTCACTACCTCCCCAGCCC